TTTCCATATGATAGAGCCTGGAATAAAAAGATATCAAATAAGACTGTGTGTGTTTGAGGCCTCAGCGTGAAAGAAGCTCAGACTGCAGAACAAAACTTCTGCAGCCCAACCTGGTTTTTTTCCTCAGCCCAGACCTTCAGAACAGATCCTTAAACTCCAGCCTTGCCTCACCTCCTTACACCATTTATTACCTGTATTTTTCAATATTCCAAGGGACACTTTAATCACCACGCTGTGCTTTAATTGTTATTAGCATTTAGATTATATGGTAATCTTGCAGCCAGAAGTCAATATTAAATTACTGCCCTTGCCTGCTGAAGAGTAATATACATATAGAATAGAGCTGAAATGTGGCTTAAAGTTTCAGTTCCATTTTATGTCCTAATTACTGTGGAATGTTATGAAAGGACTGGAACATCACACCATATATTCCTGTCATCCCACAGGCAGCTTTATAGGAACATTACAGGAGTGTGCTGAGCTCGTTACAGGGGAGCAGAGTTGAAGGGATGCAAAGGAACTGCTCATTTTTAATAAAGCCACGTGGGTTTGTGTCTCCCATCCATCCACAGCCTCTGGGATTTCGGTGTTAAGCTGGGTTGTCAGAGGCAGACACACAACAGGAGGAGGTTTCTGGCTCTCTCCAGCTGCTGTGGAGAGCCAGATCCTGTCAGATCCTTAGAGAATCATGGAAAAGTTGGGGTTGGAAGGGGTTGGAGAGCGAGACAAAAAATGAACAATCTTGCAAAGGTTTGTTTGTTTGTTTTTCCAAACCACTAAAAATAAAAAATTAATTCATGTCAGTTCTCATAAGAGAGTTAATTCAGGAGCTGAAATGAACCTGTCGACTGGGAGAACTCCAGAGGCTTTTGAACCTGCCAGGAAGGGCAGGGACCTCTGGGGATCCCCCAGTCCAACCCCCTGCCCACACTTCACTTGAGAGCATGGCCCGAAGAGTTTTTTCTATCACATGGAAATCTCCTCCCTTCAATCATTTCCCCAGCAAATGGAGACACATAGTCAGCTCTCCTTGCCATGTCACAGCAGAGAAATATTGCTCAGGGGATTGAACTGAAAAGTTTCTGTCCAGTCTCATTCCAAGTAAAGCCAGCAATACAAATTGTATCCCTTCCTCTGGGTTACTCAGATGGTTAATACACTCTGAGGGTGTAGTGCAGCTTCAGCAGAGAAATGAAAATATCATCACCCTACCTTTAACACTGAACCCTCCTGTTTCTATGGATCTATCTGCTCCACTTGTTTCTCCTCCAGCCCAAACAATTCACAGCCAGATGATTGTGTCGTGTCCCAGTCTTTTATATTCATCCAATTCAACAGCCACACATCATACAAAGGTCCCTGGAAATATCACTACATTCATTTATTTCATTGGGAGTTCATTATTCTCCATTATTAAGGGTCTGGGCTTCAAAGATATTTTCAGTTCCATACCTAAGCCTACACAGGCAAACAGGCCTCTCACAAACAGCTTTTGGGGTAACATTTAAGGCAAGCCTGTGTTTGAAGCCACTTCCAATAACCCCCTTTGATCATCTTAATTCTGAATTAACACTGACCAACAGAAAGCAGATGCTGCAATTTCTCATTTTGCCTTGGGAATACTTCTAGGGCTGACACCAACAGACCAGGTGGTAAAACTACTGCAAATTCACATTACTGTCCAAAAAACACAGCATGTCTTTTAAAGCCTTTTTTAATAAAGAATACTCTTAGATCATTCTTAATCGTGTGGCATATAGAAATCAGCATAAAATTGGGAATTCTTTACTTAGGGTGAGGGTGGGCAGGCCCTGGCACAGGTTGCCCAGAAAAGCTGTGGCTGCCCCTGGATCCCTGGAAGTGTCCAGGGCCAGGTTGGAGCAACCTGGGATAGTGCAAGTTGTCCCTGCCCATGGCAGGGGGTGGAATGGGATGATATTTAAGGTCTCTCCAACCCATTCTGGGATTCTGTGATGCTGCATGGTCCCAAATATTAATAAAATATACAGCCAGTATAATTCTGACTAAGGTTAATTTAGACTTCTGTGCTACTAACAGAGCATTCAAAATATAATAATAAAAAAAATCTAGTATAATTTCTATTGCTGTAAACCCAAATGATTGTTGACAGCTTTACAGTCACCTGCTGCAGGAAGAGGATAAAGCCCTTTATGAGCAGATGATGATCCAGAAGTACCTATGGAAGAAAGAGATTTTTTTTAATAGATATCCTGATAATAGCAGGGAAGGAAAGGCTCTTTACACGGAGCCAGAAAAATCCTGATCACGTTCAGACACGTTTTTCCATGGGAAAATTGCCCCCCTCCCTGGCACTGCAAACACCCAGAGCTTGAGGGGAGCTTTGGGTATGTGTGGCTTAGAGACAACATCATATTCTAACAGATCTATCCATGAAATCACCTTATTTCTGCAGGGCTTTTGCTCTCATTTGTACCAGCTCCACACCAGGCCAACTCCCTCCTCCTTGCCCTGCTGTTCCTCTCCCTGCAGGAGGAATCATCAACCCAACGTTGCTGGATGACAAAACGCTGTGGAAACATTTACTCATTACCACAAGGCATTTGGAAAGGGAGCTAAAATGTCAATCCTGCTCCTGCAGCCTCCCCAGGAGCACAGTGGACAGGCCAGCAGGTGGGGAGGGACAAGATGACAGCTCTGTGTGGCAGCACGGCTTGGAAAGCGTCCCAAAAAGCCGAGTGAAGCCTTGAAAAGAAGGAGCTGCCATTCATTCATCCTGGAAGCAGCTCAGAAACTAAGCAGGAGAGGCCAGGAAATAACGTGCTGAGACACCAAAATCCAGCTGATGGAGCACTGGGTGGGGACAGGAACTCTGTGGGAGACAACACAAATCACAGGAACAACCCCACTGACCAGAGCAGATAATCAAGATCTTACCTCCACTTGGGGCCCAGGGCACACCTGGGCACTTAGAAATTGAAATTACCATCAAGATTAACTGAACCCATGGCCTTATCCCTAAATCCAGGACATGACTGAGCATGATATTGAGCACAAGAAAATATTAAAGGGGGTTTTAGGCTCCTACCCCAATAGACAGAAGGCAATATTTTGAAAAGTGATCTGAAGTCCACACACAGACAGAATAAATATTCGAGTGACATGTGGTTAATACAAGATGATGTGAGGAATCAAGTCAGCAGAAGAAAATTGCTTCAGACACGACATTATTGCTATTGAATTGAGATCTCTCCTGGTGAGAGCTGACAGATAGAATATCACTCCAGAAGAACCCTTGGAATGTTGGGAATTGCACAAAAGCAGGGCAGGAGTGGGGATTGGAGTTGTTTAAAGCTCTGTGTTCTTGTTCATCACGAGCCCCTCACACACTGGATGAGTTCTCAAAGCCCTCAGTCCTGCCTGGCAGCCCCAGAGGGGGAGAATTGAGTTTCCAAAATCAGTGTTATCACCTTAACTGTCTCACACAGTGTGCAGCACCCATGACTTTGCTTCATCCTTTATTAATACACTACATGAAAATGGGAAAAAAAAAAAAAGAGACAACAAGAGCAGAAAGCAGAGCTCAAATGCCCCAACACCTCTTGCCTTCAAAATCACGTCACACCCTTTCAATTTAATCCTTTAATTTTTGAAAGAAAAATTATAAAACACTAAACAAGGGCAACAAAACAAAACAAAAAAAAAAAAAAGAAAGAAAAAAACAAGCCTAAAATTGCAGCAGGGGAGGTTCAGGTTGGCTATTGGAGGAAAATCCTTCACTGGAAGAGTGGTTAAACCTTGGAAGAGACTCCCAGGGAAGTTTGGAGTCACCATCACTGGAATTGTTCAGAATACCTGTAGATGTGGCACCTTCTGATGGAGTTGATCAATCAATATTATTTATGGCTGTGGAGGGATTGCCTGAAGGTTGGACTTGCTCTTGGAGGTGTTTTTTGTCAAACCTGAATGATTTTGTGACTTCTGAAAAAGGGGCATCTGCTGCAAGTCCAGAGTATGAAACACCCACCTCCCTCCAAACATTAAAACAAACATTAAGAGTTTGGCTGGAAGGCACAAAAATCTAAAGTTAAGTCTGTAACTCCATCCTGTGGTACATAGGTATTACAACACTTTTTTTTTTAAATATAAATCCAGGGACACAAATATTTCTGTCCCACACTCAGAGTGCTTTTCCAGGTTTCCTTTGGAATAGGAATTCTCAAAAAAAACCCCAAAACCCAACATGACTTTAAAGCCTTTATACCAAGACTCACAGTGGGCTCTGCTCAGCAGAGTGGGGGGACAAAGCTGAGCCTGAAATAATCCCAAACCATCCCTGCCAGGTCCTGAAGAGCCTGGCAAAGCCCTGCCAGGAGCTGGGCTACTCCTCATCTCCTGTCACCAGCCCCTTGTAATGTTCCTCAGCAATATTTGCCTTGAAATATTTGTCCAGGAAGAGTGAGAATGTGCAATTTTAGAGGTTCTTACCACTGCAGAAAAGAGCAGGGTGAACTAAACACTGGGAACTGGGAGACAAAAGAACCCACCCCGACTTCCAGGGTGATCTCTGGACACTTTACTGTGGGAAGGATCCAAGGTGTGTTCTTGTTCATGGCAGTATTGAAAAAAAACAAACAACAAAGCTGCTAAGAATATAATAAATACTTTCTAAATAAGTATTTCTGCTGATCCAACCCTTCTGCTACCCAGGCAATGCTCTGGAAATGGCCAGGTTGGGTAACATGTCACTCCCTTGGGCTGAAAATCTACAGGTAGGATGTGGAATGGAAGGACAGGCTGGTGAAAACCAACAAAGAAATCCTCAGTTACAGGCTCAGTTTTTGCTAAGAAGGCTCTGAGTGACAGTGGGAAGGCAGGTGGGCTCATCCCAGCCCTGTATCCCCACAGAAACTCGTGTTTTAAGGCAGGCAAGCAGAGGGAAAAGCAATAGTTGTACACCAAAACACGGCAGTGCCTCTTGAAAGGAAACATCACAGCAAACAGCAGAGATTTTCACTCACCCAGACATTAAAAAGAAATCTTCTTTCTTAGCTGAAAAAAAAAAAAAAAAAAGAAAGAGACAATCATATGTCTTGATTTCCTAAGCACAAGGAGTTTATATTGAAAGAGGGGTTGTCAATTTAGCTGAAGACAAGAAGTGTCCTTTTATAGCAGTTTTTAAGATGCACTCATGAATTCTGTATGAACAGAAGTGTCCTTGTTGGCTGATCGAATGCACATTTACATTCAAAGCCAGGCAGAAATTCAAACATATTTTAGCAGTGCTGTGATGAAGCACCAGCAGCATTTTCACCCATCTGCCCTGCACTGAGGGGAGGGAGCTGCCAGGGGAGCAAAGCACAGGTGAGGAGTCATTAAATTTACTAAGAGGTCCATTAAAAACCTGAGAGTAAAACCCACCAGCAACCAACACGAGTCTCAACGTGCAGTCCCCCAATTTCATTTCCAAACCTCAGCAGAGGACAGAGCTGTAAAAAACACCCCAGGCTTTCCAGAAACCTGAGGGAGGGTGTCTGAGGACTGGTGAGAGAGACAGAATAGCTGAGATATTTGATGACACTGCCTTGGTTCGCTTGCAAGTCCTGCCTGCAGTGCAAGTTCAGATCAATCTGGAACTGAGCATTAGCTACAGGTTCAGCCACAAGATTTGGCTGATCCATTTAATTCTTTTTTTTTTTATTTTATTTTATTTTAAGATATACAGCAATTCAGATTGGGAGAAGAAAACAACTTCCAATCCAAAAAAAACCTGCAGGATCCAAAACCTGCCTGGTGCCTGCAGAGAGTCAAGCTCTGGTTTGAGCTCCTCACGACTCCAGCAGTGTCACCTCAGACACACAGACCAGCTGGGATCGAGTGCCCAACTCTAACAGACCCTGTTGGACCCTAAAAGGGAGAGCAACAGAGCAAAAAGAAGAATAAATTCCCTTTCTGCAGGTCTGGCCCAGTAGAACTGAGGACTGAAGAGTCCTGCACCTCTTGCTTAGTAAATCATCACACAGGTCCTTCTTAAAATGAGGGGTGATTCCCTTTCCTTCCACTTCACCATAACCAGCCAGGCTTGATCCCAAAGCCAGGACAGCTTTTTGCCTGCTCTCTGTTCCATGGCCAAGGAGGGAGGTGTTCCAAGGCTGCTGTTCCCAAGCTGTGGATAAAGGGAACCATCAGCAGCATTAAAAGCAACTTTTAATATGCTTTGTTTTAAAGCAAACTGCCCTTCCTTTACAGGTGTGTGAAAAGCACTTCTCGGGGTTTTATTGAGGAAAAAAAAAAGAGAATATATAGAAAAATGGGGGAAAAATACGTTTTTCCTTCACTCTGAGAAGCAGAAATATCTCGTAGAAAGATCTCTACCATCAAGTTAAAAACCCCAAGGCACTTTAACCCTCAAGTCCTGCCTCACTGAATAGACATATTTTAATGGCAATGCCATATTTAGGGGCCTGAAGCTGTCATTTATTACGTTTATTACTATTATTTTACCATCTATTCTCTTAATTTCTTCCTATTAGCACTACTATTACCAAGTAGGAAACAGCTCTGAACTCATCCTGAGGTTGGAAAATGTTGAAGACATGGTCTAGGCTGGAGATGTCTGATCTCCAGTTTGTAATGCCAAGTAATGCAGAAATTCTCAGGAATAATTGTGCCCTCTTGCTTCCCAGCTTTTCAAATCACGGGTTTCATCTGCTGGAGTGAGAACACAGCGTTACCCAGAAAGAATTGGATTCAACAGTTAAGATGCAAAGTTGCAGAAGAATTAAATGTGGTTTCTGTGAGAGGAACGGAGTGGGTGGGGGAAGACTCATCCTAAAATAGTGCAGATCTGTGCTGGGAAGCCCAACACTTCATCCTGGAGGGCCAGAAGTGAGCATTCCCTACAAAACCTGTGCTGACTTAAGACCACCCCAGATCCTAAACCTGACTCCTTTAATTATGGTGCATGTGAAATAATTAAAGAGGAACACTGATGACCTTTTCCTCTCTGTGAAGTGCCACAGGACATTTTAAAATCTCTGGGGGTTTTCCCCACACCCTCTTGGTGTTTTTAAATCTTCAAAGCCTCATAAATATTTTTTTTATATATTTTTTTAGGGGAAAACTGACCCCACTCCTTTCTAGGCTGCTCTCTGCTCATCAAAGTGAAAGTTGTCATCTCGTTCCACGCTGACCTCAGTTACTCCCACAAATCAGAGCAGCCTTGTTGACTTTCCTCCCTTCCATAATTAAGACCCAGAAGGATGAAGCACGTGCCTTCTGAGCAATTGTCCTCAGAGCTCCACTAACAGCCCGTTGGAATAAATTTTGGCAGCAGAGTGTGTTTTCTCTGCAAGAACTTTAAGGCACCTGAAGATGGATTGAATTTGGCACGTTCTCCAGGAACCCTTTAGGAACTGTTAAGTGGATGCTCACTCGGATTTTATTTCCTTTCCATGGCTCAATGGCACAGACAGGAAGATGATGACACAGCACTGATGGCTGTTTGTCATTGCTGTAAATTCCCTCAGCCAGTGCCCAAAAGAGACACCCAATTTTCTCGTGTCCTTCTGCTATCCCAGGATTTTCAGCTGGCTGGGACACTGGGAGCAGGATTTAAACTCTACCCACCCCCTGGTGCACAAACACCTCTCTCTTCCCGTGATGATGCAGCAGATCAAAGTGGATTAATTTACCTCTTAATTTACCTAAAAATTCAAGATGAGATTCTCAGATGGAATAAACTCCTCTAGTGTCCAAAAGCTTGAAGAGCCCAAAGCAATTTGCTCATTAATTAAAACACAACTTCATGGGAAAATGATAATCCTCCCATTATTGCTTTTGGTATTGGAGTGTTTGGGGCGTGGTTTTTATTTTTAATTAAGTTTAATAGACCGCCACCCTCAAAAAAAGTGAATTTTTTACCTGCACCCTTCCTGTTAGGAACCTGTTAGAAATTAATATTGAGCTTGTGCTAATGGGAAGGGAAGTTCTCCAGTCCAGATTTGGCCACTTCCACTCCAGTCAAGCCCAGCTTTAATTTTTGCACATTCCTGGTGCACACCCACATGCTGCACAGCCCAGTTTTCTCTGATAAGATGATGAAGCAGGGATATTCTAATCTCCTGTCCATCATTTCCTCCATCACCCTAAAACCTCTGCATCTGTTTCCGTGGATCTTCTTTGAATGCAAGCCCCTGGAATTGTCAGCAATTTTCCGGACAAGATTTTACACAATCATCTGCAGCTCCACCAGTTCTTCCCCATCTCAGTTCAATCAAGATAAAAATTCAGTGACACCAACTGCATTGCTCTTGATTTATTGAAGAATACGTGTTTTTTTCTACTCAAGGGTCAAACAAACCTGGATTTTGTTGGTTTTAACTTACATGTACATGCTCAAAGCAATTCCTTTCCTCTTGCCCAGTTGTAATACTGATGGAAGGCACCACCACTGCTGCTTACACGAGGGAAAGTGCTGGATTCTGCACCTGGGATGGGCTGACCCCAGGTGTTTCAGGGGCTTCCACCACCCCTGATGGATGGAGATCACAACCATCACTTCACAGAGTCACAGAATATGACAAATTGGGAGGGACCCTCAAGAACCATCAGTCCAACCCTCAGCCCTGCACAGGTCCAGCCCCAAGAGCATCATCCCAACCCTCCTGGAGCTCTGGCAGCCTTGGGGCTGTGCCCATTGCCCTGGGGAGCCTGTTCAGTGCCAACCACCCTCTGGGGGAAGAACCTTTCCCTGAGATCCACCCTGAGCCTGCCCTGACACAGCTCCAGCCATTCCCTGGGGGCTGTCCCTGCTCCCCTGAGAGAACAACATTTTGACAAGCCCTGATAAAATGCTAACAAACCCCTCAGTGCCCCTGTGACACCTGCTTTGCCAAATAAAGCTCCCCGTGGGTAACCAAGGCCTCAGCAGCAAAGCTGTTCTCAACATCCCCAGCGTTTCACTGTCAGACTGCAAGAAACAAGAATATCAAATGTGGAAGAGCAGAGCACGCCAGCACTTCAAATCCCTCCTTTACAGCAACGTAAAGTGGTCATCTAATGCAGTGCTATCATAAAATTAAATCATGCTCACTTGTCATTTTTGTATGGCCCGGACCGACAGATTAAAAACTACATGGCAAAATGTAATTTCCCAAACTGAAGGCGTAAGGGGAGTTTGAAATATCTCCCTCTGCAGCGTGTGCCGAGGTTCCTGAGCCCTCCTGGCAATAAAGCAGCAGTCAGAGGGAGGATTTAGCGCTGCTGGCTGCCTGAGGGGCACAGGCAGTGCTCGTCCTCGCCATGCCAAGGGAAGCAGCGAGCGGCGGCCAAGGTTGTCTCTCTTCTTCAGAGCGGCCCTGGTAGGGGTAGAGCTGCTCAAGCTGAGGATTTCACAACTGCAAATCTTCCCCCAGAGAAGTGAAAAGAGGTTTTTTTCCCTGCTGCATCCTGAGGGCAGGGCACGGCTCTTCGTGCTCTGAGCCAGAGGTGTAAGTGGTTCAGGGGTCGGGCACAGAGAGTGGCAGTGGCTGGGGTGACACCAGACTGGCACCAGTCACTACTGGGGGGCCACAGGGCTCTTCAACATCTCCATTGGTTACTTGGGTGCAGGACTGCAAGGGTACTCACACAAAACTGGGAGGAGCTGTGAACTCCCTCAAAGGCAGGGGGGTCCTGCAGAGACCTCGGCAGAGCAGAGGGCTGGGAAGCACCAACCACGTGAAGTTCAACAAGGAAAGTGCTGGATTCTGCACCTGGGATGGGCTGACCCCAGGTGTTCCAGGGGCTTCCACCACCCCTGATGGATTGAGATCACAAACATCACTTTATAGAGTCACAGAATATGCCAAGTTGGGAGGGACCTACAAGGATCATCCAGTCCAACCCTCAGCCCTGCACAGGCTCATCCCCAAGAGGATCATCCCAACCCTCCTGCAGCTCTGGCAGCCTTGGGGCTGTGCCCACTGCCCTGGGGAGCCTGTTCAGTGCCAACCACCCTCTGGGGGAAGAACCTTTCCCTGAGATCCAACCTGAGCCTGCCCTGACACAGC